ACAGTTAACCTCACATAAATTCATCCATTTCAGAATTTGAGTTACAAATGCACATTCAATCACTTAAGGAAGCACACACACATGCATAACCTTGAAAATTCACTTTGCTGTTTTCTGTCCATTGGAGCATAAATCCAACACATAAAATAAGATTTTCTTAATTGATCGCAACAAAAGCTTACAGGGTAAACATTATAGACAATGTGATGCTCGATATCAAGAGGATCCCCTGTCTCTTGACATGACGGCCTGTGAGTCTGAAAGCTAACTTTAAGAAACTCCTCCAATTTGTGAGTATCTAAGTAGTATCTATAACCACCATCGCCACTAAACCCAATCAATACTACATTCACTTCCAACGGTACCTGAAGCGGAACCTGCACAATACTTCACTGTTAATCACATTACAACATCACTTTCAACCCAGATTAATACCACAAAATTTCCATTTCTTAGAAACAAAACTAATATGATTCAATTTTAATACTAACAAAACTACTTACTCTTAGACGTTTTTTTACAAATAAATAAATGAAATAGCCACATCAACTTTGCATTAGAATCATCGAAATACAATAAAAATCGAATACAATTATAGAGCAACTAAATTGTAATTCAATTTCCAACAAGGAAATGAATAGTAACTGACCTCAGCACGTGTGTGGAGCATGCGGCGGACGTCGGATCGGACGCTGTCTCGGACATCATGAAAGGCTCCGTGGTGCCACTGAGGATGACCGGGGTCTCGCCGGAATGGTTGTTGAGCAGAATCGGACTGGAAAACGAGTTGACTCAGTGCGAGAATTAACGCAAATGAAAAAAAGAAGGCCGGTTTCGATTTCATTTCTGAGTTCTCAAGGAATGAACGAGCAATCGATCGCTTTGCTCGTCGTTGTTTTGAAGGAATGCAGTGTACTGAACGTGAGTAAACGACTAATTACCAAAACGCCCGCGCTTCTTTTAGTTAATTACGGTTAACACTCGGACTGTCCGAGAAGGGCGGGTGGGCTACCGTTTTAAACCGGTACCATTTCAACAATTGAGTTGTGACCTGAAATCCCACATCGCTTCCGCTAGATAATGAGGTAACACTTGCCTGTAGACAAAATCGGTACTCAGTATATACCTTTCTGCTTAAGCTGAGGAAAAAATCGTGAATCTTTGTAATAAAAATACGAATAATATCTATTTAGTTATTTATAACTAGAAAAGCTGAATTAACTTTATATTTATCAAAATAAGACTAATTAATTAATTAAAATATGGAGGAGCACGAAATAAAAGAATTTCATTTATCTTTCATTATTTTAGTAAATAAAAAAGAAAAAAAGAAAAGAAAAGAAGAGAGACGACCGTTCTTTTCCTCTTTTTCATTCAATTCCACACGCGAGTTAATCAGAGCCGTTGATTTGACTGACCCACAATTAAGATCACATTACATAAAGCTCTTGCTTTTGTCCTATTCATTCAGAAAATTCAAACTTCAGTCTGTCCAACTATTTTTACTTCACTCTCCACTCCGGACCTCCGGTACACCTCAACTCGCAGTTCCAGGTATGCTCTTTGCTGCATTTTACAACGTCCTTTGATATGTTTCTGTATAATTCGGCTCATTCATCAAGAAACAACACCAGATTTGATTTCTTTGTCTTTGTTTTTTTTTTTTTTTTTTTTTTTTTTTCTATTAAAGATATTTTAGTGACCCAAGTGAGCAAATAGTTAGTGCTTTCAGTACTGCTTTGTTTAGTTTGATAGGAAAATCATTGAAAACAAAGTGAACAAAAGTTTGTTGTTTGTGTTTTCTATTAAAAAGTGAAAAAAGGGGACATGAGACAGTGAGAAGAACATTAAGACTATATTTTGTCAGTGAAATTGGGTATTCTTTAAATTTATCTTCATAACAAAAAAATCTGCTTTTCAGAAACTAAGATCATGTTTCTTGTTTACTAGATGACAAAACATAAGTACATGTATAGCATATTTTTGTTAGGTGGATGGACAACTGTTCGTTTATTTTTTTTTTCACTTTTACACTGAATGGGAACTTTTTGAATTGATAGACCAGACCAGTTTGTTAATTATTTTGTGAAAATATATGTAGGTGAAGTGTCTGTGTACTTAGCATGGTATTACATAAGCTTTGGTGTCAATATCCTTGAATCCATTCTAAATGTCAAGTAATATGCAATGTATGGTATATAGTTTTGATTCCTTGTGTGCATATGTATGTTTAAGTAAGCACATGGTTGCTCAATGCCGGTGATAATTTCACTTTAAGGGATTGATGAATTCTGCATTAGCTGATTTTATTTATATGTGGGAATAGACAGATTTTAATTAGTTTGATGGAAAGACGGCAAAGATGAATAGTCTCAATGAGATTTTTGGAACGAGTGAATCTGATGATTTTAGCAACTTATCAGCAGGAGAGGTTGGAAAATCTGCAGAGGATTTAATTCCTAGTCATGAAGAAATCAGTTTTGGGACAGTATTTGATCTTGATATGAGGTGGCCTTGCAATGAGATCATAAATGTGGGACAAGGAACTGGTCAAGATTTTGCATTGCTTGATGACGCTCTATTCAACCCCCATGATGCACTATTTTCTTATTCATTTCAGCAAACTAATCAATGGGATCTAGGTGTTAATATAAATAGCTTCCCTGGGATTTCTGATGAAGAAGACTATAACCCATATCTATATATGCTTAGGTGGCAAAGTCTTCCTGAGATTGTTTCACCTTACTGCTCACAATCACTAGTAAGAGGAACAGACAGACTTCCGATTACACTTGTTCTAGATCTGGATGGTATGTCTCACTTAATGCTATCTTCTCACAAATACTCCACACTCTTTACATATCTTACATTTTGTCCATCAATAGCTTGTTCCAACTGCTGCAGTAGACACTCAACTTATAGGACTCCTAGCTCATATTATGTTAGTTTAAGTTGATAACTTCCTTATGCAACTAGTTAAATTTTCCTCCGAGTTAATAAAGCATGTCTCAGTTTTGAGTTGGTCAAGTGGGAACTGTCCAAGGATTGGTTTGGTTTGTACTTGTAACAATTTGAGCACGCTAAGAGAATTTACCTGAGAAAGGATCCCTAATCATACCCTTTCGGTATATTTTATTGATATGTATCTATCTTTGCAATTTAATTAGCTAAGAGATGAAGTTTTTATTCTTACATCTCGGCTCAACATAGATTATCATTATATGGTGGCTTATAGTTCACTGAATGTAGAAAGCACAAATTATGCATTACTTGAACTTAACCAGAACCAAGTAGTTCATAATTTGAACTGTTTTGGTCTTTTTCCCAAGTATTTACATTTCGGTGGAAAGAAATTAAAGATCCACCATATTTGGTTAAATTCATTTGTCTAACCACCAGTTTCTCTTCTTTTACTAATTCATCTTACAGAAACCTTAGTCCATTCGTCTTTCGATAATTGTGAAGATGCAGATTTCAGTTTCCCTATTTGTTCAAAAATGCAAGTGCAAACTGTGTTTGTTCGCCAGAGACCATATCTGCGATTGTTCTTGGAGGCAGTTGCAAGCATGTTTGACATTGTCATATTTACAGCAGGCCAAAGTATTTATGCAGAACAGTTACTTGATATACTAGATCCAAACCAAACTCTCATTGGTCAGCGTGTTTACCGAGACTCTTGTGTGTTTGCTGATGGTGGATACTTGAAAGATCTAACGATATTGGGTCGTGATCTTGCAAGGATTGCAATTGTTGATAATACACCTCAGGTTTGTATCTAGCTTCATATAATTATTCTCGTTTTGACATTACATTAGCATGTGTACTATCTATTTGTATGTCAAAGCTTCTCAACTTGACATTTATTTCACGACTGTGATGCATGATGTTCTTCTATGTTGAGAACATGATTGTACCAACCTGTCAATTCACGTACAATCACACATTGGCATTGAGTACTTGTATGTTTTGTTGTTCTTTCTTAATCACGATTAAGTAATCAAGTAGTAGCCAATGACTCAACTCAAAATTGTTTGAGAATCTCTTGGAATCCTTGATAATCTATTGTGGCCAGACCTAAATCAACCTACATGTCTCCATCATTCTTCGTAAATATGTTTATGATTAAAATATCACTGTGCCATTGGTGAAAGTAGAGCATATTGTGTTTATGTAAATGCAGGTATTTCAGTTACAAGTTGACAATGGGATACCCATTGAAAGCTGGTTTGGTGACCCATCAGATAGTGCATTGCTGTCATTGCTTCTCTTCTTAGAAACACTTGTTGGTGCTGATGATGTCCGTCCAATCATCAAACAAAAATTTGGTGCTGGGGAATGACAGGTCAAACTTTTCCATAGGCTTGCTCAATATCAAAACTACCAATCTCCAAATTGGGGGAATACATTAAATCAGTCTGCATTCTGTAGGATATGACGGTCACTGTCTCCTGCAGCACTCAAAACTTCTTCGGGAGGCTTGGAATTTTTGTTATGATTGTGGTATGAGTGTTTGACAACAGACAGAATAATGGAATTTAGGCTAGTCTATAATGCTCTTACTTCTTGTTAGATGCTGTACAGGCTTAAATGTAACTGATTGAACTAGCATGTGGAATATGATGATAATTGGTAAAATTCTGCATCATTCCACAATATCCAATTGTTGTTTTTTTTATTTTAATTGATTGAGATAATAGTATAATACGATGCCATTCCACTTTTATCCACATGACTAAACATGAAACAGATAAGCACAGATCTGCTGTCGTTTCACCCAGTTTAAAGGTACAATGGTTAATACTTAGCTTCGAAAATGTTAAAGATGTTTGTAAGAACTGGATATGCTTGTTTATGGTACCACTAATCAATAAACAGTCTTTAGAATCAAAGTGTACCAAGATTCATTACATGAATCTGCAGTGTTTTCCATGTTTTTACTCTCCTTTCCTGAATTTCATAGAAATGAATAAAACGCGAATAACGTGTTAGGAGGCCAGGACTACAAGCAATTAATTAGATCATATAACAATTCATAATATTACATTGAATCTGTAGCAATCGTAGTTACATATAACAAATTTTACAAACTTTAAGCCTCTTCAGATAGTTTGGTCTCAGTATCAGTATCCGAGCACTACAACTGCTTTGTCAATGCAACTCTTCAGGTATGCATCATAAATAAGGATCTTCAGGCATTGGCCAAAATCAGAGTAAGTGAATTATTGATTTTATGATTTATAAACGTTCCAGATCACTTCGGATCGAGAGAGGAGGGTCTTGTACAGTGCCTCTAGATATAAGATCATGGTTTAAAAATAGAACAATTACAGTTATGTCATCGTGAAAATGGCGTCGAACCTTCGTATCAATTTTTTTAAGATCTGAATATCTCATCTCTCGTTTTTTTGCTGCTTCTTGGAGTGCAGCCTTGATAAGCCTTTTAGCACTTCCCTGCATTAACAGAAGACCATCAGCGGAAAATGGGAAAGAAGAAAAAAAGGGGATGGGGAGGAATTGCCATTCTCTATCAACACAGAAAATGTAAAAGCACAACATCATGGGACTGAGAAAAGAAACGTTACAGCTCCATTTTTAAACCAGATTATCACCCCACAGAATATTTTGAAATGAAAAATAGAAGCTACTTAAAAAAGTTAGTCCATAAAGGAAGAAGGGTGAAAATCTTTGCCACACAGAGGCTTTATGTTATCATATGAAACAAAAGGGAAGTTTTGCGAAAGTGGAGAGAACAAAGAGGTGAAAGATGCAGCACTAACGAAATCATGAATCTAGAAATGAAGCGCAATTTAAGCAATTTAAGCTATTTTCAGCAAGAATTAGCACATGCAACTGCAACTTATGGAAGCTAAATCTTGTAAAACATAATCATAATTCCACAAATTAGTGACATCATATATATCAAGAATAAAATTACAATTAATCTAGAGAAGTGCATGTTGTCAAGTGAAACGAAGAAATATAACAACAAAATTTTATAGAAGTCTCTCTTCTTGAAGAAAAACAAAAGATCTAATTTATTTGTGAAGAAATCTTGATAAAGTATCTATTAAAATGGTACTAAGATCCTCCCTACACCTTTAGGAAGTAAGGTATGGAGTAAGGGTAACTTGAATGCATTGAGAAATGCTAAAAATTGAAACAAAAGGCGATATCTTACCACACGTGGATGACTATGGACAATATCCACAGCCTTTTGATTACTCAAGTGTTCCCATAGACCATCAGATGCAAATATAAGGAAAGAGTCATTTGGATGAAGAGGTTGAGAAATTATTGATGGATTGGCAGTCAAGATAGGCATGTTCATTGGCTCAGGAAGTCTGAATTTTGCATTTATTGGTTCTCGGTTATACTGCGCATGTTTCATATATACGTCACCAATAGCTCTAGAAACCTGCATAAAAAATCATCAAGGAGTTGATGACATGAGGCCATTACAATGAGCATGTCCATGAAAGTAGACAAACTAATTTATAAACTGGCAATTAGCCTAGAACCGGTTATGAACTTTAAGAAGCAACAGTTGCAATATCCATAGATCTGTTGGCTTTTAAATTACATACAATATGCTAAACAAGTTATCCAAGTTTTCTTTCTGCATTGTATCCAAATATCCATAGATATAGATTATTGCATCAATCTGCCCCAAGTTTTTCTAAAAAATATGCTTGCCTCTGGTCAACTGGTAATTTATGCAACCAGTAGCAACTCCTTTCCCTGTTTAATTAACTTTGACCCACTTCTTCTCTTCTTTGTACCAATATTAATTTTAAATGAAGTTTCTAATGCTCTACATTTGGCTAAACATCATGAACATCATTCAAAGATCCTAATTCTGCAAGAACTAACAAGGAAAAACTGGTTTTGTCGTTGATGACAAAAAATTGTCAATACATTCAAGAGATGTTTCAAATACAGCAGGTGTAACATGCAAAGAGAGTACCAATGAGTCAAAAAAAAAAAGATGTACTCTGTGATTAGGCCTCACCAAAATCAGCATCCAATTGTGTAATTCTATATCTAGATAAGAATTTGTTAGAGACGTGCATACATTAATTGCAACTGAAGTTAAAGTACACAAACATGACATTGAATTTTAAAGTGGTAGATAGTGTGGAATTCTTTAAGTTAGTCCAAAATGTTTCTCAGTTCCCCAAATTGATGTGGTTGCAGCATATTTTACAATTAGAAACTTCTAATATATCTAAGAGGCAATTGTCCAGCAATTAGAACATACAAATATATATTTATACAGAAAACATAACAATGAAATAATATCTCATAAGGAAGACGTCAATACTCAAAATTTCTTAAACACCACAACCGATGTCATTCCACTGCTATATACATTACACAGGCTTTAAAATTCTTGGGTCAATAGTGAGCACATGCTTATGACCACAGGTAATCACAAGAAAGTGCCTAAAAACCTTTTCATTTTAGATTCTGAAAGCAGCACTACCCACGACTAAATTCCGTCAAACCGCAAAATAAAAGACATATTAGTTAATACAAGAAACTGAGATATTATGTCAAGAAGTGTAGCAGTTTATTTATATGCCCTAATCACAGTGGAATTCGGTATTTGAAATAACCTGAATAATGCCCTTCACTCTCCAAACCCCGTGTCTGAGGATTACAATCTGGGGATCATTCGGGTGTAATTCCCTAAGTTCCTGTCTGACCTCCTCAAGGTTAGCATTGTGTTCCTTTGACAACTGTATGGCTGCAGTTACTCCAGTGTTGCCAACTTTCTTGCCCAACACAACACGTGAATCTCCAATGTTTGCCACAAAGAGGGTCTGCTGATATATCACCCCAATTAGACAGCATGAACCAACTGTTGCTATATTAGGTTGCGTACTCCATAACTCTGACACATGAGCAGTAAATCCTTCCTCAGTTAATTGAACAGCTCTTTCAATGGTATCTCTTGTCACATTTCTCTGCGTCTCAGCTGCTACTGCTGCAAAAACACAAAGCCTAAGCAAGCCAACATAAGAACGGCTCCACCTCCATTGTTAAATAAGAAAAGTCAGAAAGATTTTCGGAAAGAAACAATCAAATGAAAACAGAGGACACACCGCCCCATTACACTTGAGCGTGCTCAAGGTCTCAGACTTCTTGATCGCAACCAAACTCTAGTTTCTGTGAGTAACTCAAAATTTTAAGGCTTTGTTATGAACATAATTTAGAAGTGCTTCAGTAGTTTTCTTAACAAAAAGATTACATTGATTAGAACTCCTAATCCCCAGTACATAAACTTCCTGCTAACCAAACGGACACATTTGATGCCAATTACTTCATTTTGACTACCCTATCAGAACTCTCAGCTGTATAAGATGCTTTATAACCACTTAAACTCATAAAGATACCCAGTCAAAATAACAATTTTCTTATTTTACACTGATTTTAGCAACTCAAAGATCCCCCTTCACAGTATACAAAAACATTTGGCTGGTAAAATCAACAAATATTTCCAAATCAGAATCAAGACTAATCACTCAAAAATCCGAAAGTAATCAGCTTTACAAATAAACCAACTCAAAACCACAAAAAGATTCAACCTTCAAACCAATTCACAAATCATATTACAAAAATAGAAAGATTAAAAACCATACACGGACCTTGAAAGTGTCTATACAAGTGATCACAAACGTAACGGGCTGCTTCGGGCCCTCCATGGCCATCATAAACACCAACAAAAGTCCCAAACGGGCCAGACTCAATCTGGCTCTGATCTTCCAGAATTTGATTGGCTTGAACCACAGCCATTGAGAACTCCCCAGAACCATACTTTCCCAAATCTCTGAACCAGAGCAGACCATCTTTACCTTCTCTAACAAGACAACTATTGTTGTTGTTGCCGTTCCCGTTGGCGTTACCGTTAACAGAGTCAACTCTGTCGCTGTTATGTTGCCCAAAAGGCTTTAAACACGATGACAGTATGTTCATCAATGCCTGAAGCATCCCACATCGCTCAGATGCCAAAACCCTTGAAGCCCCAGGTCCGAGACATGGAGTAATAAAAAGGGTAGATGGGTGCGCAGGATACAGTGGGGATGCGCAAGATAAAGTAGGGGTAGCGTAGGTTAGAGAGAGGTGGTGTGTTCGGTGGAGAAGGAACAAGGAGGGGGTCAGTTTAAACAGTGAGTTTTGTTGGGTGTTGTTTCCTGTGTTTTGTTGTTTGTTATGTTATGTTATGAGTTTTATGCAATGAAATGAATACCAAAGCCAGAGGGCAAAGGGCAAAGGCAAAGGCAAAGGCAAAGGCAAAGGCAAATGTGATGTCCCCCAACTTTCATTAGGAGAGATGTCGGTTTTTTGTTTTTAGTGTGTTTTTGTTGCTTCTGTTTCCTTTTTTAACTCTTGGGTTAAAACTTTAAGCCTCTCACTATTTCAACTCCTCTCTTTAATCCCATATCAAATTTGCATCCAAAGAACAGATTGCAGAAGGCATTTCAAGGTCGGGTGTTGAAGTTGAACTACAAAGCATGGAGGGACAAATTTATGGTTGAAGGTGGTGGAGTTTTCACCAAATTTCATTATCTATCTGGTAAAAAGATATGGGAGTAGTTGAATTGAGTTGAGTGTAATTGGTGATGGAGTTTTTAAGTGCCATCTTGATTTGAGTTGTCTCATTTGAATTGAAATGGCAAAGGAAGATATGTCAACATCTTTGCTAGCTGTTGTTGGCAGAGAAACAGCCACCATTGTAAGAGGCCACCATTGTCCACTCCACTCCACAGTCTTATTATGGATTATTGGCTTTGGCATTGGCCACATTACACCAGTCCCAGACAGCAGACATATCACAATTATTTCATACCCATTTTCTCACCTTTGTCACTCTTGTAAAAACTCTTTTCTATTACCTCAAAGAACGGATATACATACAACAGAGCAACCGTGTAAACGTAACGTATCCATAGAAGAATTTCTCTATTTTAAGATTCTCAAGTCTTAGCTTTCTACGTTTACAATAAATACATAGAGAATCTGCCTTCTTATGTGTTTGTGTTAGTTGAGAAATTGATGAGTTGAGATGGATCAGTTTTGTAAGGGACCGGGTAGATTCTTCTTGTAATTTCAGTCGATTTATTCGAGATACCCACCATTGATCTTCTCATGGAGATCCTTTTATTAACTTGAGCGGTAACTTTCTCAGTACATTCAGCAATTGTTCCGTTTGCTACTGTCCTCATGTTGTATACATAACCAGTTGACATAAATTGACTCCGAAGAAACAGAAGGCTTTGTCTCTGTGAATTTTGTGGTGGGTCGATTAAAACAGGAGATTGCCATTGGATTTCCCTTCTCTATTTGTCAATGTCTAGCACCCTTGGGGACATTGTAACTTTAGCCTCAACCCTCAAGCTGATATCCAGCTCAGTGCTTGATTCCCTCACCCAATTAATGAAACATTAGGTCTTAGACTCTTTCAATTTGCCAGAAATATGGGGACATCAATCTCATAGATCAGCCATATGGTAAGGATAACTTTGGGAGCTTTAGTGGCTCTTAGTNCGATACATTCAGCAATTGTTCCGTTTGCTACTGTCCTCATGTCATATACGTAACCAGTTGACATAAATTGACTCCGAAGAAACAGAAGGCTTTGTCTCTGTGAATTTTGTGGTGGGTCGATTAAAACAGGAGATTGCCATTGGATTTCCCTTCTCTATTTGTCAATGTCTAGCACTCTTGGGGACATTGTAACTTTAGCCTCAACCCTCAAGCTGATATCCAGCTCAGTGCTTGATTCCCTCACCCAATTAATGAAACATTAGGTCTTAGACTCTTTCAATTTGCCAGAAATATGGGGACATCAATCTCATAGATCAGCCATATGGTAAGGATAACTTTGGGAGCTTTAGTGGCTCTTAGTATGCTTGCCAGCATTGTTAACACTAAAGTTTGGATTGGATAATAAAATCAATTTCATTTATCAAAAATTAGTTGAATGGTTATGATTTGCTTTTACAAAGTGAATCGGGGTTCCATGGATGATGCTCAACATGAGCCCTCTCAAGTCTCAAGCTCTCTCTTTTGAGAGAACAAGCCCAATTATCTTCAATTGGACCAATTAGTTATACCCAATAATCTCTCTGGACTTGGTGTAAATGGTTCATATTTGGGCTTCAATGTTAGGTCTCTTCTGGTTTCAAGGCTCCATTGTTGCAACTGCTATGGTATAAACACTGTTTTCTATTAGAGAATGTGACACTATTCTTTAAATCTACAATAATATTCACTTAAAAAAAATTTAAGAGAATATCAAAATAAAGCTCCCACAAGGATCTTCCCCACAGCTCATTTTGATTCCAGTTGGTAGATCGGTGAATCAATTAGTTGAAACCCACAACAATTTAGAAGCTTTCTTCATTCTCCATTGTAGCTCGAAGCTTCCTTTTCAACTTCACTGATAGAAAGTCAAAACCTGCTCAGTTTGATCATGCTATTCTATTTGACGATTTGTTTATGAAGCCAATACAATAAAAATAAATGACTAAACGTGACCATTAGATGTGATCAAGAGTATTCTATTATTTATTTCATAAACCTTTTCCAGATGGGTGGCCAAAAGATAGAAATAAACAAAGGACTTTAATAAACATTCTTTATTCAAAAGAGTTGGTGAATTGATAACAGGAAGTTTCAACCTCACTTTCCATGTTCTTCACGTTACCAGCAGTTTGCTATTTTAAAGCTGCAACTGTCGCAAATCTAGATGCAATGAAGAGTTTTGGTAGAAGAAAGAGAGAGAGAGAGAGAGATGATGATGATGAACTTCCACTAGTTATTGACTTTAGTCTTGCATATTATTACAGAGTCCTTATCAGAATGGAAAAAAACAACTTGCTGCCAGATCAGAATTCAGCAACACATCTGTTTTGGATAATGTTTTATTTGTTTTGTTTCAATTCTGACATGTGCCATTGAGTCTTAAAATAATGTTTATTGATTCTATTTCTTGGTACGAAAACAAATTACTCAGTGAAGGGTATGAATATAATTTGATTGCTTAGTTTTTGGCATTATAGAGAGATTCACTGTGTCTGATGCTGAACTCCCGGGGATTCACCAAGTTGCCAGGCGGAAATGAAGGGACTGACTGACATTGTTTTGTTTCACCTTTTAAATTTTTTTTTTTTTTTTTCTAATGACTGGAGTGTCTGGGATAATTTTTGTCTGACTTTAACTGATTTATTGGGATCCTGAAACTATTAACCGGGTAAGAGTAGGATTGTAATCGAGCCGAGCTAAGTTAAGTTTTCGACTTATCGAGCTCGGCTCGATTGCTACAGGGTTGAACTCGAGTTCGAGCTCAAGCCTGTCGAGCCAAGGAAAATGTGCTCAAACTCAAGCTCGTTCCAGACGAGTCAAGTTCAAGCCAACTTGTGAGATCGAGTGAGTTTTCAAAGAAGAATTTGTGAGTTTTCATTACTTACTGGCTTTGCTTCCTCTTGCAGATTTTGTGGTCGATTTGGAGGAGAAGAATTGGTTTCGCGCTTTTGTGGATGAAGTTGTGATTCCTCCACATAGTGAATTGATCTGTGATGGCAAGAACAAGGGATGATCGATCAATGACGGCAAGAACATGGGATGAAGTTGGCTGATTTCACAATGGACAGCTTTCCACTTTTGGAGGTTTAGGGTTTGTGTTTGTGGGTTGGTTGACTTGGGGGTGTTTAGATCGTGTTTTACTATTTTGCACTTAGGGGAGTAAATGTTGTTGTTGTTTTTTTTTTTTTTTTTTTTTTTTTAAACTTTAATACAACACTTTAGTCCCCCTGGATTATGACCCTGCTTATGCGAGCCACCCCAGGCTTGCGAGCCTATGAGTCGAGCCCCCCTGGATTGAACTCGACTCGTTTTATTATCTGAGTTGACTCGACAGCGATCGAGTCGAGCCTTTAACGAGCTTCAGACGAGTCGAGTCAAGTTGGCTCGCGAGCTACTCGACTCGTGTGACAACCCTAAGTAAGAGCTTTAGTGATTATTCCTATTTGCAACTAAAAAATGACTTAAATTCAAGACTTCTTAAATAATATATCTTTTAAGTAATATATCTAAACGTCCGTCGCCAAACACTCAAACACTCAAATGTCTCTCCCGGGTGCTGCCATTTATTGCCTTATCTTGTTTTGAATATATTAATGCAGAAGCTTGAGCCGCTATAAACATTATGAATAAACCCAAATTAATCCAATTAGATTACCTATTAATGCAAGAGATTGGAATTGACCTTTCAAACAGAGCAAAGTTGGAGACAGACAACAACAAAACCAACTTAACTAACCTTAAACCATCAAACCAGTGGGGTCACTGGACCCATAATTTGTACACGTGTCGCAATTCTAAGTACAGAGTTGGCTTGATTTGGACCCACCAAAATTATCCACAATCTTTGATTATAAAATTTGCATGCCATGATTTTTTTCCTTCTAAGCGCTTGATTATTTATTTTGTGATAAAACTAAAAATTTATTGAATAAACTACGGATTGGGCGGTGTAAATCTCTTTATCCTAGAATAATTCATGGTCAAAGACTCAAAATATGGAATTTATAATATTATACAAAGTTTTTTTTGGTATTTAGAATCAGAAATCCTTTCCTTTCCTTTGCCTTTAATTTACCATTTCTAACATCGAATCATCAATTTACGCTTTCCAAAACTGTAAGATTTGCGATCAACACAAGAAAAGGAAAATGGATCGGACCAACCTCTGAAAATGGATCCTATGGATGATACAAGGTCACTGCCCACTACATTATTTGATCAACTGCATATGAGCACATACACACAAGGTTGTTGAATCTATCTATAAAAACGCCAGTCCTGTCTACTCTGGCCAAATTCCAAAGTCAAGTTTGTTCATTGCTTTGATTGTTACTGTTCATTAATGGCTCCTCGTAACATTGTTTCTCAGAGAAGTATTCCCACCGACTCTACGAATAACAAGGCTAGTATAACTTCAAGGTTTTCTTTGTCTACAGATAGAGATGTCTCCATAGATGGCATAACTCTTCTGTCTGAAGTGCCTGGCAATGTTACTCTGTCTCCTTTCACTTCAACTTCTCATTTTCCTGATACAGATTCCATTCCTCTTCATATTCTAAAATCTGTTTCTTCTAAATCTGAAAATGGCGCCTTTCTTGGTTTTTCGGTGAAGGAACCCCATGATAGGATCTTGAATCCTATAGGAAAGTTCATAAACAGGAAGTTTTTGAGCATTTTTCGGTTCAAAACTTGGTGGTCTACTATGTGGATTGGCTCAAGTGGATCTGATCTACAAATGGTGACTCAGTTGATCCTTCTACAAGTTCCTGAACTCAACTCTTATGTACTTATCATTCCTTTAATAGAAGGCAACTTTCGTTCAGCTATCCATCCTGGTGCTAATGGAGATGTGATTCTTTGTGTTGAGAGTGGTTCAACAAAAGTGAAGGGTAAAACTTTCTCTTGCTCTGCATATTTGCATGTTGGTGACAATCCTTATGATATTATGAGGGAAGCTTTTGCGGCTGTTCGTGTTCACTTGGGGACTTTTAGGCTTTTGGAAGAGAAAACACCACCAAAAATTGTTGACAAGTTTGGTTGGTGTTCTTGGGATGCATTTTATATAACAGTAGAGCCTGTTGGTCTGTGGCATGGTGTGAAAAGTTTTGCTGAAAATGGGTTCCCTCCAAGGTTTCTGATCATTGATGATGGTTGGCAAAGCATAAACATGGATCATGAACCCCCATTAGATTTAACATCTTTAGGGTCTCAAATGCTTTGCAGGCTCTACAGGTTCAAGGAGAATGAGAAGTTTGCCAAGTACCAAGCTGGCACAATGCTAAGGCCTAATGCACCAAAATTTGATCAACACAAACATGACATGAAGTTCAAAGAAATGGTTGCACTAGCTGAGAAGAAGCAGATAAAGCAAGAGGGAGGAGACATTTCAAGTCTCCCTTCCCGAACGATTATTGAGTATTTGAAAGAAGATGAGGGGGTAGAAAGAGGTGGATTGAAGGCATTAGTGAGTGATTTGAAAGACAAATTTCCAGGATTGGATGATGTTTATGTGTGGCATGCTTTGTGTGGTGCTTGGGGAGGAGTTAGGCCTGGAACAACTCAGTTGGATGCTAAAGTGACTACTGCAAAGCTGGGTGGTGGGCTTGGAAAGACCATGCATGATTTGGGTGTTGATATGATAGCTGAAGGTGGAATTGGGCTTGTAAATCCAAACCAAGCCGCTGATTTATTTGAGTCAATGCACTCATATCTTGCTGATGTTGGTGTTACTGGCGTTAAAGTGGCTGCTATCCATGTAAGTTAAATTTTTACATCTTTCTTGTTACTATTTCTGTCCACATGCCTAATATACAAACATAAGCATCATTCTCTTCAATATGTTGGTCTTTTCTGTGTCAATCTTTGCTTGTCTTCTAAGAGACATTAATCATCATCATCTTCATGTTACCTTCCAACTAAGTGTTGGTATTTTCCTACGTTTAACTTGTAATATCACCAATACAGTATACTGTATAAGTGTATATCATTGGACAGAGCATGGGATGCATATTATTCTTATGTACGGCAGATTATAACTTCAGGTGAGCATCATCATCATATCTCTCTTGCAGGGTTTACAGCACAGGGCGTTCCAAAATACATTGCCAAAGTATTGGTTACTATTTACAAAATTGTTTTCTCAAAGATTGAACTGATTGAGTGGTACTGAAACAAATTATTGTATGATCGTGAAGGGGAAAGACCAGTCAATCAGTTCAATCTTGAAAGTCATTACAAAGGTTTTTACTATTTTGACAGGATAATCTTCATCGGATGGAAGACTCTAGGAAATCAGCAAACATTATCTTGAAATTTTCTGATCATATACATGAATAATTCTCTTATTCTTCAAATCTTTTTGACTGAAGCTGAGTGTAACTGAACAGAGTAAGAGCTTTGTATGCATTGAACTGTTTCGGCTTTGAGAACCAAAAACTAAACTAATTGACACAACCTAGATGTAGTTAGATTATTTAATCATCAAATCTCTCTGTTTAATGGTGTTTTCTTTTTGCCCAAGTTATATTTTGGTTATTACGAAATGTACACGGCTGAACAAGTCTCTTTAAGAAGAATTTTGATTCTGGTTTTGTTCTTTGCAGACTTTGGAGTATGTTTCCGAGGATCATGGTGGTCGAGTCCAGCTTGCTAAGGCATATTATGATGGTCTGAGCAAGTCTCTTAAGAAGAATTTTGGTGGAAGTGGGCTGATTGCAAGCATGGAGCAATGCAATGACTTCTTTTTCTTGGCCACACAGCAGATTTCAATGGGAAGAGTTGGTAATTTTCTGATCATTTAAAAAGGGTACTTTATTTGGATACCTACATGCTTAATTGTTATTTAGATGGGTTAATCTCTATGAACAGGTGATAACTTCTGGCCTGAGGACCCAAATGGGGATCCACTGGGAGTGTACTGGTTACAAGGAGTTCACATGATCCATTGCAGCTACAACAGCTTGTGGCAGGGCCAATTTATCCAGCCTGATTGGGACATGTTTCAATCAGACCATCCCTGTGCTGAGTTTCATGCTGGTTCAAGAGCCATTTGTGGTGGACCAGTATATATTATTGACAAAGTTGGACACCATAATTTTGATCTTCTGAGGAAGCTGGTTCTACCAGATGGAACCATACTCAGGTGCCAACATTATGCTCTTCCTACCAGAGATTGCCTATTCGAAAACCCCCTCTTCGATGGCAAGACTTTGCTCAAAGTTTGGAACCTAAACAAGGTAACTTGTAACCATCTACACTTCTGCAGAATGTTTGATATCTTGAATATGCAAAATGTAAAGCATCTTTGTTCTGTGTTGAAATGCAGTTTACTGGAGTGGTTGGTGTATTCAACTGTCAAGGAGCCGGATGGTACCCAAAAGAGCACAAGTTGAAGACATATCCACAATCCCACAAGTCAAAGTCTGGGATGGTTTCTCCAGATGACGTAGAATGGGAGCAGAAAGATTCAACAGCTGCATACCGAAACACCGAACAATTTGCTGTCTACATTCACAAATCTGATAATATGCGTCTGGTGAAGTCCAAAGATCATATCAACATCACACTGCAACCATATTCCTGTGAGATATTCACCATCTCACCGGTTCACAAGCTCAATGAGAAGTGCAAATTTGCACCTATTGGCCTTGAGAACATGTTCAACAGTGGAGGGGCAATCGAGTTGCTTGAATATGGATGCAAAGAAGGGCTTCACGATGTGAAGCTAAAGGTCAAGGGAACAGGGAAGTTTTTGGCTTACACAAGTGAAAAGCCTGTAGAAATTGCAATGAATGGAGATAAACTGCAGTTTGAATGGTCAAGTAATGGAATTCTGAGGTTTGAAGTGCCATGGATTGGTGGCGAATTATCTAATGTACATATTTCAATAAACTAAACCTCAAAGAACTTCAATTATATTAGTTCCTGTAATTTTGATCAAAATTAATGAAATGTTGGACATTAGACATAAGAATAATTTTATCAGGAATTTATTTTAGAAGGCCAAAATTAAATTCACATAAAAAAAAAAAAAAAAAAAAAAAACAACAACAACAGAACAAAGAAGAAACTTCAAACTAAAACCTCTGCTTTATATACCATCATTACCAGTTATTCTTTTTACTTTGGGTAAAGCATTCAAAGCTCACTATACGAGTGAAACAAATCTTATCTACCATTTGAAAAAAAAAAAAAACTATTATTTGCCTAAAAAGCCCCCTAAAAGCCCACAAAATTCCCACTATGTCCCTGAATTTCTTTCACCATTTTCAAAGAGGATGATTAATTAAATATCTTTACCTTGCTTTAACAACACTTTTCTTCAATCCCAATACCCCCTTAATTTTCCCAAACACCCTGCTTGCGATCCCATTTTTGTTCTTCTCTTTCTTCTTCTTGTTCATTACACTCACCTCCCCCTTCAACGACGTCGTTCTCTTCTCAACTTTTATTTGCTCCACTAAATTCCCCAAATTAGCCCCAGTCCTACTAAAGGCTGTAACAAGCTCAGGGTACAACTGTACCATCAACCCCTTAAATTTCTCCGACACTTCGACAAAAGCAGAAGAAGAAGAACCTGAACCTGACCCTGAACCTGACCCTGAACTTGGAGAACAAAAGGACTCGTCGTTTCTAAAGTACCCAACTCTCACGTGACCCTGAATGTAATTCTTGCAAGCAGACAAAATCACGTGACCTCGCTCTCTAAAGTGACCGCTCACAAAACCCTCGAAATTCTTCGGAGGTTTACGCAGTACAAAGATCATTGTCTTGCATGATAGGACGAAAACATCTTCATTATAAGCCGATGATTTCTTCTCCCAGATGTTTCGACCCGGCCACATCCCGTGACCCGGTTCGTTAAAATATGGTTTTTCATTGAGAACAAGAGCTTGAATTGAGATCAAAACCTGAAGCACTGTCGACTCTTGAGGGTTCCACTTCTCGCACTTTTTACCGGTCCACGTGTTCAACAAACTCAAACAGACCCGCCCGTTCGCGTACAGGTTCGGGTTGAGCCGTAACCCAAATGAGCGATAGTAAACAGAGGGCGGTCGAGCCGGGTAATCGGGTGGGAAAACGATGTCGAAGAAGAAGAGTCCGTCGTGGTATGGTGTACCGGCGGCTCCGACGATGACAGCTCGGAGGAGATCAATTCGGTTCTCGTAGACCCGGACGAATATTGATTCGGGCAAATGCTTTTCGAGTATTTTCCACTCTTGCATGATCTTCTTGTGGGACCCACCGGAGGCATTGGCGAAGGGGTCCACGGCGTTCCTTTTGGGTACGTTGGAGTTGACATAGTAATGATCGGAGGAGTCTGATACGACGTCGAATCTGGTGAAGGCGCTGATCTCCTGGATTTCGCCTTTGGTGTTCATTGAGAGAGAGTCGTTTTGGTGTGAACTGTGATTGTCTCTCACAAGTCACAACACTTCCCCAATTTTCAGAGTTTAAGAAGAATGGGAAAGGAAAGCAGTGCGTTTTCTTCGGGATTCTTTTCCTCTATTGCTTTTTTTATTTTACGAGGAAAAATAGGTGGTGGGTCCTAGTCAATGATCTGCAATGGACGATTCTGATGTTCTGATTTTGATGCCACTATATGGAGAGATAGTCGGTTCCATCACAAATTGACAGTGATTACATAAATATATATACCCACACTTGTCCGTGTAATGTAACTTACAGGCTTCATGTACCAAATCACCTAATCTTTTGCCTTCATGGCCATTGACACAGCCGCTTATAAGGTACAATCTGTGAATCACAGAGTTCTGGTTTGGTATTTGCATTATTACTGGCAAGTAGAGGTAGAGTCCTCCAGCTACAAGGCTCTAAATTTATGCACCCAATATATAAATAAAGCATATTAGTTGGTTTGGCCTTCTTTTCAAAGTGTTTTTGTTTAGCAAGAAAGCATCTTCTTGTTTGGCCCTTTACCTTTCCATTATTTAACACTGTTACCTAATTCAGTTTTTTAAGGATGGTGCTACTGCTGTGCTGCCTACTCCTCCCCCACTTTGTGATCAAAGCAAAGGGCAGTTCAAACAATAATTTAAAGTTTTCAGTACCATTTCATCATCTTTGTGATTCCTTTGCTTCTACGCTTCTACTGCTCAGTTGCTTTATTGAGTTTATATGTTGCCAGAAACTAAAACCTTCCATAAAAGTGTTAGCAAATAAGATAGTTTAGAATTGCTTAACCTCTCAAGAGTTCACTATGCACTATGCTATACTCTTTTCTCTACTCAGCACAATTCTTCAAAACACAAACATACAAACAACTGAACTTTACAAAAAACTTAGCAATGGATTTAGATTTCTTCTCCTTTGTGCGCCTGTGATTGATCATCTTATCTTCTTCTATAAGGTCCTGTAAAGAAGCTCCATTCCTGATGAAGGCCGCGAAAAGTTCTGGGTAAATTATCTTCATCGAGTCCTTGAATAACACTGATAATTTAAATTTCTTCATAGATGATATCCCACCAATATTTGCAGAGCCATTTCTGTACGCCTTACATGCGGTTAATATGGCATAAGCGCGCTCTCTAAAGTGTGCAGCAACAAAAATCTCGAAATGCTTGGGCGGGTTTCGAAGCAAAAAGAGCATTGTTTTGCAGGACAATGTAAAAACTTGTTGGTTATAATCTTGCCAAGAAGGTGCTGGTTTGTACTTTCCAGGCTCATTGTAGAAAGGTTTCTCATTAAGAACAAGTCCCTGGAGTGAAACCAAAATCTGAAGAATTGTGGATTTATTTGGACACCAGCTTTCATTTTCATCGCCAAACCAGGTGTTCAATAGACTTAAACAAACCAAACCATACGAATACAAGTTTGGATTCAGTGCCATGCCAAGTGCACGGTAATGCACCATTGGAGGACTATTCGGATAATCAAAAGGGAATTTAATGTCGAAGAAGAATAGGCCATCGTGATAGGGAGTCCCTTGAGCACCAATAATCACAGCTCGAAGCAGATCAATCCTGTCTTCATAAGCTCGTACAAAGATGGTATCAGGTAGATTCTTATCAAGTAATTTCCACTCTTTCATAATATTCTTGCATACATCACTCCCACTATTGGTGAGGTAACTCTGCTCTGTTCCATCAGTTTTCTTCTTCAAGTAGTTATGGTCTGAAGGATCAGTTACAACATCAAATTGTCTAAACTCACCCTCTTTCTGTAGCCCTGAAAGAAACAAAATCACATACTCTTAATGACAATCAAGAAAATGTTGATTTATGTAAGCAATTACAGTAGTTTTTTGTCGTCAATTTTGCTATAGCTGATCAACAAAGTAGGATAGCACTTGCTGTAGGGAGTTATTTTAAAAGCCAGATAGCTTCCATAGTTGAAAATTCATTCTTTAAAAATTTCGATATGAACACATGGCTGAAGTTAGGAGTTCAATGCCAATATCCACAGAAGAGAAATAGACTAAAAAATATTATACCCATTTGCATAAATTTTTGTGCCTTATCACATTAAATTAAAGGAAAATTCTCGGAATATCAACAGAAGAGAAATGGACTAAAAAATATTATACCCATTTGCAAACATTTTTGTGCCTTATTACATTTAATTAAAAAATATTTTTGGCTTTTTATACCCATTTGCATACATTTTTGTGCCTGATTACATTAAATTAAAGTGCCTTATTACATTAAATTAAAGGAAAATTCTCAGAGATACACCTTGATTCTTGAAGAGAAAAGTTATTTATTAGGAACAAAAGGATCTCTGCTCACAATATTATTGCTTCAACTTTCTATGTAAGCACTAATTAATATGTGATTGCTTCTATTCTTTTAATTTCTAGGGTTTCTTTTCTAACAACATGATGCCCACAGTAACATTATAAAAGCATAAAAAAATAAAAAATAAATAAAGAATGAAAGTACCTGAAGCCATGAGTGCTGGACTTGTACCGTGCCTGAGAAATTCTGAAGCTGAAAGAAGGCAAGACCTCTGTTAACAGACCCTACTAACAATATATTTGTAGGCCTTTGTACTGAAATGAATGATTTTGACTGGATCAACAATGCAAAAAACTGCTCCTTTTTTTTTTTTTTTTTTTTTGAGACTCTGGCAGCCCTCAAAGATTTCCCTTGCGCTGGACTCTATCCCGTTTGTTACGTAAAAAATTCAAGATACGTTGGTAGTGGAAGTGACTGTTTGACTTTAAACATTAAGTTGACATTATTTTAATGTATTCTAAAACACTATACCAGTTAACAGCATATCTTAACTTGTATCTTAGTGCACAGAATACCAGAGGATAAAATATATATCTATTTCTATATAAATTTTTGTATTATAAAATAAAAAATAAAATTTCAATAGACCCATATGTTAAATATTTATCTTTTTGACAACCAATTAAATAAAAAATAGAGTAGTACTATCAGCAAAGTGTCCGGCCACTAATTTACGCGTATCTCAATAACTAATTGAATTAAACTATACATAAAAATTATTGTAACAGAGAGAGTAAATTACTTACCACTTTGATCAGTTTTTAAACAAGCCTGAGGTTCAAGAAGCCAAGACCTCTATTTGAATGGTGGGAGAAGTTTAGGGCTTTCATAGGTTTATACTTTCTGGGGTTGAAGAAGCCAAGAGGCCTCAGACCTCTGTTTATAAACTCTTTAAGAATATAGTAATTTTGTTTCATCAATGAGCATGTTTCCAAAATCCTGATCCGAATACATTCTGCATGAAGTGTAAATCGTATGGTTGGTGTTAAACAACTATTATAAATTTATAAAATGATATGTAGTTGCCTAGATAGATGATCAATTGATTGAATCACACTATACATAAAACTTAATAGAAGTGTTTGCATCTGCAGTATTAAGAGGATCCAACTTCTTTTCATGTCAAACTCCCCATCTTTTGGGCTCAAGTCCAACATATTTATTTTTTTTAGGTAACCATAACACAGTAGATCTTGAATTTACAGCTTAGGCGAAGGCTTCTTTGCACCCCGGCCAGCTATGAACTCCTGCATTTTCTTGAACTGCTCTTTGGTCATTCCATTGTAATAGTTATGAGCACTCTCCTGAAAGTAATCAAAAACATTCAGCTAAACAATAATATCATAAGAAATCTCAAAAAGAAGATAGACAACATAAAGCATAAACCAATTATAAGTAATTAGAGTCATGGTACCAAAACAAGGACACAACTCATGTCCAATTGAATACTACATTCTTTGATTTCTACTCTTCACTCCGTTCTTCCTTACTAGTCCGACGGCTAACTACCACCATACTAGTGTATAAAAGCGACTTATAGCATATAAACCCACCAGCAATACAGAGAATTTTATCGACAATTTGACGCAGCTAAAACAATGCATATAAAGTTGCATTGAGACAGAATGTGAGCCATAAAAAGGAATGTTTATTGGAAAATAAGGGCAAAATATAACATGCTATTCATAAATGCGAAGGATTTAGAGCATCACTTCCGGCAGGTCAGAAATAAGCCTTTGACTATGATAATACGCTTGAGACGACAAATTCAACAAACTAAAAAATTAATTATTATTATTATTCATTTTTCCTGAAAAGAATTTCACATGAGATTAACTAGCAAACTTAAGAGAGTCTCAAGATGCATAGTCTTCGACGGGAGACAAAAGTCTCCAAGCACACATGAATACATCACACAAACTTAATTAAAAGGTAATCCTTAAACAGAAAGTAAATAAATACCTTTTCTAGTTGAAGAGCATGGCCAAGGTCCAGCTTCAGACCATCGTTTATGACTGCCTTGTACCTCAACACCAAATCTTGATTATTTTTTATGATGGCCTCCGCAACTTCTTTGGCTTTCTTCAGCAAATCACCTACTTCAACAACATGGTTCACCAAGCCCCACCTCTCACCCTGCTCAGCAGTTACAGGCATCACCGATATAGATACTTCACGAGCTCTATTAGCTCCAATAATTCGCGAAAGCTTCTGCGAAAGACCCCATGAAGGAAATATACCAAATCTGAATAAAAAAATTGTACACGAATTAGAATATCATGATTCATATTCATCATTTCGATTTGAATCTTCCACAAGAACCCGTTTCATGTATTGTAAAATAGAATTTATCCGATTAAAAGATACAAATCTCAGTACTATTGCTGCATTAAACCTTAAATTTGTAACATGAAACTTCAAATCCGAAACATTCAAAATTGGCAATAATTAACTAAAAATAAATTGTCACCAGTTGATTGATATACTAAAATACTGTTACACTGTACGCAAAATATCGACCAGTAACCGAACTAAATGAATCAAAAGAGCAAAGAATGCAAAATTGACCACAGACCTGGCATGAGTGTCCATAAATTTAGCTCCTTTAGCTGCCACCAAGATATCACAAGCGAGCGCGATTTCAAATCCAGCCGTCACCGCGAACCCGGAAATGGCTCCGATTATCGGCTTCCTGCACCGCTCCATTTGCGCAACCGGGTCGGACTCGATATCCTTAACATCTCCCTTGAACACGTCCTCCGCCGCAGTAAGATCGACGCCCGAACAGAACGACCGACCCGATCCGGACAAGATTATCACCCGGACAGAAGGGTCCTTATCCAAGGACTTAAACGCCTGGGCCATATCCGTCATCATTGACTTGGTCAACGAGTTCAACGATTTCGGACGGTTGATCGTGATATACCCGATCCCGTTCGGGTCTCGGGTTACAAGGATTAGACATTCGGGTTTGGGTTCGCCCATCGGTGAAGGTTCTTTTTATTTTCGAGTTTTCCCACTTCAGAGATATTATACTGTTCGCTTCCCAGAAGGTTTGATTATAATTTTTGAGAGTGACAGTGAAACGTTGTCGTTTTCTGGCAGTTGTAATGCGTGCTCATCCTTATCCCTGACGCTGCATACGTTACCTATGAAACTAACCACTGCATTCGGATCAGTTTATACATATCATCTTTAGAGAAACTAGTTAAATAATATACTGTTATAATCTTTTATTTAAATCACGGATAATCATATGAGAAATAGAACTTCAGACTTACTATCTCCAATTCATACTATCCGTAACATAAAGTTATTTTCATTGATATGTGTGACGATATTGGTGTTATAGATGTTGACTTGGTTGTTGTCATTCTCATGAACATAATCAACTGCCATAATTTTCTTGCCCAACAGATGATATTTTGTTAGATTATTTAATGCCCACATGAATAAACAAATTTGGAGCCAAACTTTGAGTCTTGCTGCCTGCTACACATCAATGAGATGAGTTTATGTTTTATCAGTCATTTCAACTTGCATTACACAAACCCTATTGATGAATTTCTCCTGACCATTTTTTCTAACACTGTGATACTATAATCTTTGATCTAACATCTGTTAATCACACAGTCAAATTTTATCAGACTTTGCGTCCTATGAACTTATCAAAGTGTGTTAACGAGTTGCCGGATGTTGATGGGTGAAATATCCTCAGAGTCGCCGTCCAAGAGGCGTTTTGCAATGAGGAGATTAGCTGCATCAGAGGGATGATATGGATCCCAGAACAGATACTTGGATCTGTCACGGCAAACTTTTGATAAAGGACCACAAGGGATTAGACCGCCATGGTAACCAGCCACATAGCAACATGCTGAATTTACGTTATCAAAACCTGTAAACGAAAAAAAGGTCTTGGTTTAGGCTATGTGAATTTAAGCTAATTTCGGATAAATTTTCAGCATTTTGTACCAACCATATGATTTGTAGTTTTGTAAGATATCTTCCAATATGTGATACACATCCGCATGCACAAATTTTGATTCCTGTAGAGATGAACTAAGCTCTGCAATAAGGCTTTTCAATTTGGTATTAAATAATTGTGCCATCTGATTTGGATAACTAGCACAACTTTCTCCTGCTGATGGATTCATGTCTCTTTGATATGGTAAGCACCCAATTGGACCTACATTTGCCACAACAATTTTTCTAGCACCCAAATTGTAGAGTCTCTGCAAGTAATAACAATCTTTTAGTGGTTCAGTCGAACAGCTATAATGGAGAATAGATTGTGTATAGTTGAAAAGAAATTTACAGTAAGTTGTAGCCTAAATCTTGAAATCATGATTTCCACAAACGATTCTGGGGAAACCAACTTTTGCTCGGCGGTGGAGAGGACAGGAGTTAAGTAATTATTGATGAAGTCGTTAGCTCCAATTGTAACTGAGAAGAGAGCACCTTGCAACAGCTCCAGAGTTGCAGGAACACCAATGCTTGAGATCATGTCTTGCCTGGTGTTTGCAAAATTATCTAACTGCGCGTCCAAGTTGATTCGACCGCCCTGTGAATTATAAACAAATTGCCTGTTAATGTTGCTCAGACTTATATATATATGTATATATATCTATTAGACACATTAAATTCAAGCATGTTTTAAATCCTGAGATAAAGAGCTTACAAAGATGCTTCCAGTTTGATTAAGAATTCCACCTCCACCTGAAGCATAGTTAACACCCTGCAAAATCATGGATCCTTTTGTAGAGGGAGCCAAATAAGGAGGAGTGAATCCCTGGAAACCCAATTCCTGACCTGGTAAAGAAATTCAAATTAGCAAAATTTGATATAGATCACCATCTGTGAATAGCAAATGTAAAGTAGAATGAAGCAGAACAGAAACAGAACTAGCCTATAATGTCAACGATCGTTCTTCCATTAGTGTATCGTCCTGTGGGGGCTCCGAAATCAATCCCATTTGGTATGTAATCAGCCTTGGAGAGTGAAACAATGTAGTTGTTGTTTCCCACATCAACCAAGGAGTCACCAAAGACAAAATTAGCTGGAATCTGACTTGCAAAGGACTTCTCCAGAAACATAAAGACTGTCCAATATATTCCAGATACAATAGCAATAATAATCTGTTTGTCTGAGAGAATGAACATTATTGCAAACTACAAGCAGTAAAACAAAAAAACTGGAACGAACTCTGCAAATCTCAATAGACGACAGAATGGCTTGAAATGTATCAAGCTGGCATATGGTGTAGATGTACTTATACAAATAACTCTTTCAACTTGCCAAAGGTAAACTTTCTATTCTTGAATCTTAAAACATTAAATGAACAGTTGTAAAGAAGAATCTGGGTAGGAAAATACCCTTGAATAGCAAAAACCCAGAGAAGAATATTGGATACATTGATTGCCCTGCAAAATCAGCACCAATCCGTGAGAGGCAAAGCTGTTATTAATAAAAAAAATAAAATTATTGAAGAAGATATATGAATTTACTCCTTGCTTTGCCAAGGAAGTGAAGAATTTTAATTTTTGCAACCACCAACGAACCAAGCATTACTGCTGAAATTTAGGAACTCCCATGTGTGAAATTTAATGCTTTTAACTTAAAATAGTCACTAACATTCACATTTTATCCCATAAGTTGCCTGGAACAGTGACTCTTGCTAAGAAATTAAATGGGAAGATGGCAAGTAGCCCTTTTATATATATATATATAGTCTTTGAGGGCTGACAAGATTGTGAATGAATCGTGGAGAATTTATTTCTGTAACCTACTAACTCTGCAAAAATCAAACTCAAAGTCTCAGTGATGGGCTTGTTTAGAGTCTGATAGAATTGTTTTTTTATCACATCCTATATATATCTCTATATCTCTTGCGTGACGTTTAAAAGCAAATCTGAGATGATCATCATCTTTTAAGATAAGTACGGGATGTGATTAAGCTTAATCCACTATCCTTTTGAGATTTTACATTTGGACTTGCAAGAACTGGCTTGGTTGGAATCTTAGTGCAATTCAGAAATGGATAATATTTCAATGAGCAATGAAAATTTCTCCAGGTTGCGCATGTGATTTATGAGGTCATTGAAAATGGTACCGATCTAGACACAGAAATTGGTAGATATGTTGTATAATAAAGTGGGCGGTGGTTTGGGTTTGGGACAGACTTTTAACTGACATGCCTGATTTATTTTTGGCCCTGGCCTTTGCAGGACCATTAATTTCAAAGAAAGAATAACAGCTTTGGGCTACTATCTCACTCTTACCTTCTTCAAATTTCTTTTAAAAAATTATTTTTAGTTTACATATTCTTCCTCAACATGGACAACTCTTAAATTAATGCCCACATACAGATTAAATGTAATCTAATGGAATTCCGACGGTAGTTAGACAAAATTTGTCATAATTTATACAGCTTAGAAATAACATAATCTAGATGCATTCTGTCAAATTTACAGGTTCAATTCCTACTATATGCACGCGTGTAGGAACCTCCAACATCATTTGTTTCGCAAGCTGACGCACATTCATCGGTGAGATAATATTTGAGTCACCATCCATGAAATGCTTGGCTGCAAATAGCAGCTTCAGATGGATGGAATGCATCCCAGAACACATACTTGGTCCGATTCTCACAAACTTGTGCGAAATAAATACAGGGGATTAAGCTGCCGTGGACTCGAGCTCTAGCAACTTGGCAGCAAGCCATATCTACTATTTCAAATCCTGAGAAGCAAAGAGATTGATACATGGCCAAATTCACTGTGAATATCATATACAAATTATATTTGATTATCATAATTTTGAAGAATATTATCCAAAGCCGCAAAAGCATCTGCTTAAATATATATTAATTTTTTTATGGCTTCTGGTAAGCTCAGCGAGCAGCCCTTCCAGTTTATTGTTATATAACTGGGCATCTTTGTTCAAGGAATCGATACAACTATCTCCAGGTGGATTGAAATCTCTTTCTAAAGGCATGAAACCAACAGGACTGGCGCTTACTGCCACTACAATCTTTCTGGCACCTAAGACTCTGTAACAAGACTTTCAGCTGCTTGTCTACCAATTCTCGAGATGATATCTTCCTTAGTTTTTTCAAAGTAAGAGATTTGCATTTCCAAACTGATAACATCACCCTGTACAAATCGGCATATGGAATATTGTAAATCATTTTCAACGATATAACTTTGTTATATTACATATCAAGTTAACACCATCAGCCACCAATCTGAAAAAACGAAAACTCTAGTAATTAGAATAGAAAATATTACAAAGATGCCTCCAGTTTCCTTTAATATTTCTGTTCCGCGGCTCGACAATCTATATTCCAAGGTGAAGCTTTTGGCAGGTATTTTGTTCAGGAAAAAGTATTCCAGCAAGTAATGTATTTAATTTTTGGAGATTCAATGGTTTAGTGGGATGTTAATAACAGTAGCTAAGCCTACCATTCCCTTCTGTGGGATTGATTTCAGCACCTGAGGTTCAACAGGACGCTATAAAAAAATGGTAAAATAATCCAAATAACAACGGCAAGTTTCATTCTTTTTTGACTTGTGTCATTGAATTTACTTATTATTATGAAATTGGACAAAGTATAATATAACTAAAATTGTATCTTATTACAACAGAAAAGCATGCGCTCAAAGAAATTCTCCCAATGAAATTATTTTAAGGGATGGAATGTTCTGAAATGCTGGCATCGCAACTCTGGTATTGCCATTTAGAAATTTCAGTGGAATGCTCGCAATTTAACAAGTTGTCGAATATTCACCGGTGAGATAAAATTGGAGCCACCATCCATAAAATACCCGACTGCAATTAGATTAGCAGCTTCAGTTGGATGAAATGCATTGAGCGTCGCTAACACATGGGAATGAGCTCCAGAAACATGGCAGCACGCAAAATCGGCTTTATCAAACCTTGAGAAGCATTGAAACATATGTTTATATCAATGTGATTAACATATGCAGATAATATAGGTTATACTCAGCATATGATTTATACTTTTGAAGAATATCTTGCGAAACAGCATAAAGATCTTCATAAACATTGTGATGATGTGCCTTCTTAATTGCCAAGGTGGAAGTCAACTCTAGCTTTAAAGGTCAAACTAAGATGCGACAGCGTTTTGGGTTAATGGGTTAACACTTATGCATATCGCGATCACACTTCTCATACTCTGCATCTCCTCTCGGCCTTTTACCTCAACAGAATGTCAGACTCCAAGGAACCTTCCAGATTGTTACTCATCTTACGATTATGGAGAAATCGAAGACAGGTGGAGGCTGATCAAGGAAGGGTGCATGTGTATTTAACATCGATTGATGAAGGAGAAATGGAGATCTCATAGTGGAGAAAACCTAGGGTTTTCGGATTGGGTGTGTTCTTTCCTTTTGTAAAGTTTTCTTCTCTACTTTGATCATTACTCTGTACTGTTTGGCTATTAATAAGAATACCCTATTGTGAGCCTTGGAGAGTGGATGTAGGCTTCAAAGCCGAACCACTATAATTGATGTGCTTGTGTTCTTTGTTGATTCTCTTCATTTGTTCATAGCTCTATTAACTGATTCCTAAATTGATTATTAAATTGTTCAATTAGAGTTAGTCAGTAAACTCTTAAGTTCTAACAAATTGGTATCAGAGCCCAGTTGAAGGTTCAGTTAGGGTTTCACTGGTTTAATCATGCCTAAATTCAGTTTTGGGTTTTCTTAGCTGCTTACTTTTCTATTGCTGTGTGTTTTCCGAATCTGTGAGAGAAACATGTCAACTAAGTTTGAGCTTGAAAAGTTTACTGGTGAAAACGATTTTGGATTATGGAAAATGAAGATTGAAGTAGTTCTGATTAAGGAGGGTTTGGCTTTAGCTTTGAAGGGGGAAGTTGAGTTACAGCAAGATATGCTGAACAAGGCCAAAAGCTCACTGATCCTCGACTTGGGTGATAAAGTACTTCGAGAAGTCAAGAAGGAAAAAACTGCTACTGAAATATGGAACAGGTTAGATTCTCTTTACCAGTCTAAGATTGTTCCTAATAGATTATTTCTAAAACAGAGTCTATTTGGGTTTAAGATGGATGGACAAAAATCACTAAAGGATAATAAGGATGACTTTCTTAAGATTATACAAGATTTAGAACGCATCTCAGTTGAAATTGATGATGAGGATCAAGCTGTGATCCTGTTAAACTCTTTACCCAAAACTTATTCAAATTTTGTAGAAACCTTGAAATATGGTAGACAAACTCTGGAGTTTAAAGAAGTTGTAGAGGCTATCTCAGCTAATGACACTAAAAATAGGATTAGAGAAAAAAATGTGAGTGATGGTGAAGGCCTTCTAGTCAAAGGAAAATCTAAGAAGAAGAACTAGAAAAAGGGAAAAGAGGGGGGGGGGGGAGCAGAATAGACATAGGTCAAAATCTAAAACTGGAAGATGGAAGTGTTTTTTCTGCCATAAGGAGGGTCACCTTAGGAGAAACTGTCCTGAGAGAAAGAAAAAGAAATATGAGAAGAAGGGTGATGGAGGTAGTGCAGGAGTAGTATCAAAGGGTTATGAGAGTTCATAAATTCTAGTTGTTTCAGAAGGCAAGATTAATGATGAATGGATTTTAGACACTGGCTGCACTTATCACATGACACCTAACAAGGAGTGGTTTAGCTCCTTTCAATCTCTAGATGGTTGGAAAGTGATGATGGGGAATAATGTTGTCTGTCATATTAAGGGAATAGTCTCTGTTAAGTTGAATCTCCATAATGGATTAACCTAAACCCTTACTGATGTTAGATATATCCCTGACCTCAAAAGAAACCTTATCTCTCTTGGGACATTAGACTCTATAGGTCCAAGTTATAAGGCTGCCAATGGGAGTCTTAGTGTTTTGAAAGGGTCTTTGATAGTTATGAAGAAAAGAAAAATGGTATGTATGAGTTGAAAGGTAGTACTTATAATGGAGTGGCTATTGTTGGGTCAACTGAGGGGCAAGATAAAACCACCTTGTGGCACCAAAGACTTGCCTATGTCAGTGAAAGAGGTCTAGAACTTAGTAAGCAAAACCTATTGTGTGGGGATAAAACAGGAAATCTGACATTCTGTGAGCATTGCATATTTGAAAAAATGAGTAGAGTGAAATTTAGGACTGGACAACACTACT